CTTCCTTCCTTCCTTCCTTCCTTCCTTCCTTCCTTCCTTCCTTCCTTTTTTCCAGCAACAGCTGCAATCCTACATCACGTGGGTGAATTCACAGCTAAAGAAGAAGCCGGAAGTTCAACCGGTGCAGGATTTGAGGCGCGACCTCCGCGATGGCGTGGTCCTGGCGTCTCTCATTGAGATTGTGGGTGAGTGGCCTCATTGCAGAGATATTGGGATGGTTTTCCGGGGCTCAGACTCCTGGATTCAATCCGGATTAAGGGGGAGGAGTGGAGAAATGGGGCAGGAGAGAAGGGTACACATCCCTGTTCAGCTCCGGCCTGTTTGCAATGCTTACATTTCACTTAGACAGGGAAATTCTGGGAGTTGAAGTCCACAAGTCTTGAAGTTGCCAAGTTTGGGGACCTCTGCCCTAGGGCAAGAGGTTGTCCATATATTGTCCGCCCGCCAAACTCCATACTTTTAAGGTTTTAAGAGTTGCCCTGAAATTTTGCGGCTCCTCTTCTGCAGCTGGAGAGAAACTCCTTGGTGTGGAAGAGTCGCCTGCCAACCAGCAGGCCATGAAGGAGAATGTGGAGAAGGTCTTACAATTTGTGGCGTCCAAGAAGATCCGCATGCACCAGACCTCGGCCAAAGGTGAACCTCAACCGTAAGATGCTCACCTGGAAGGGCCTGCGCGCTGCTGTCCACCCTTGGCCTCCTCTTGCTGAAGAGAGTAGAACAGGGCTGCAAGAGAGGGAGAGAAAGTGAGAGAGAGAGAGAGAGAGAGAGAGAGCAACGAGAGAGAAGGAGAAGCGGGGGAGGGAGATTGACAGGGAAAGGGGGAGAGAGAGAGGGAAGAGGGAAGGAGGAAGAGGGAGGAGGAGGAGGAGGGAGGGAGAGAGGAGAAGGAGAGGGAGGGAGGAGGGGAAAGGAGGGGGAAAGGGAGAAGGAAAGAGAGAGAGGAGAGGGGAAGGAGATTGATGGGGAGAGTGGGAAAGAGGGAGAGAGAGAGAGAGGGAAGAGGGAAGGAGGAGAAGGGAGGGAGAGAGAGGAGAAGGAGGGGGAGGGAAGAGGGGAAAGGAGGGAGAGGGAGAAGGAAAGAGGGAGGGAAGGAGGGGGAAAAGGGGAAGGAGGAAGAGGGAAGGAGGAGGGGAGAAGGAGAAGGAGAGGAAGCAGGGGAGGGAGAGGGAAAGAGAGAGAGGGAAAGAGGAAGAGAGAGGAAAGGAGGAAGAGGAGGAGGGGGGAGAGTAGAAGGAGTGGATGGGTTGGGGAAGTAGGGAGAAGGAGATGGAGAGAAGGAGAGAGAGGGGGGAAGGAGGAGGAGGGAGGGAGGAGGGGGAGAGAGAGGAGAAGGAGTAGGAGGGAGGGGGGAAGGAGGGAGAGAGGGAGAGAAAGAGGGAAGGAGGGAGAGGAGGGAAAGGGGAGGGAGAGGGAAAGAGAGCTTCAGACTCTTCCCCTCGGCCATCTCACGGCCGTTTTGCCTCGCGTCGTCTTTTCCAGACATCACGGATGGAAATCTGAAGTGTATCATGAGGTTGGTCCTTGCGCTGGCCGCTCACTTTAAGTCCGGACCCGGAAAAACCGCTCCGCCAAGACCTGCGGAGGAGACCCAGCCGGGGAGCCGAACCTGGCTGGCCCGTCACAGGCCTCGCTCGGCTGTGGCAGCTGCCCAGGAGGCGGTGGCCGCCCTAGCAGAAGCGCGCCAGGATGTCGCGGGAGTGGGCCGTGGTCACGCCCTCCAGCCGCACCCCAGGTACGTGCTCTCCTTGGGATGCTTCGATAGTTACACGTGGTTCTTGGCTGGGATTAGAACCGCTCCCTTAGCGCAGGGGTCTCCACTCTCGGCCACTTTAAGGCTTCTGGACTTCAACTCCCGGAATTCCTCAGCCAGCTTTGCCGGCGTCCTTCATTTCACAGTCGCCTTGCTTGGCAACAGAAATTCTGCTTCTGATTGTAGTTGTAAGTGGAGGACGACCCGTTGGTTTTTCAAAGGTTCAAAGGATGCTGTAAGTACCGGACTTTCCCCCCTTCAACCGAAAAGAATGAACTTCTGAAAGCGAGGTACTTCAAAAGGAATCCTTTATTGAAAGGAAGCGGTCCCGGTACTAGTCAGAGCAGAATCTAAGATGCTTCCGGGCACACAGTAATAGATAAAGGGAATTAGAACCCCTCCCCTTATTCTGAGGTGGATTTAGTCAAACAAAGCACCAACGTGTTAATTCTCCCCCCCACCCCCCTTTTCTGGGAAGGTATCTTAGAAAAGTTTCCCAGGGGGTATCTTTCAGAGCCGGAATTTTTACGGTCCCTTCTCCTCTTCCTATCTCTCCAAGAGGTGACAAGTTTCTAGGCATCTGGCTCCAGTCCTCCAGTTGTATATCGTGTGCAAGTTATACAGATTCAATATAAGATTTAAGATGTTCAGGTTACGTCAAAAAGGATTACTTGTACCAACTCCCCCCCCCCCTTCTTCCATTGAAGAATGGCAGACACACAGATCTGACGGATGCAGAGGCGACGGCGTTTTGTCTGTCTCTTTTATTTCGGGCCGCTCTGGCCCTTCTCCTAATGGTGCTGTCCTTGCCTACAGAAACAGCCCCCTGCGCGGAGAGAATGAGCGGCCTCACTGGAGCGTCCGAGCGCTCGTCCAGCAGTATGAAGGCCAGCAGAGCAGCGGCCCTTCAGAGTCCTCGTCCTCCAGGTAAGAGATGCTTCGCTCCTTCCTCACCCCTGCAGGAACCTGCAGTAAGCTTTGAGAATAAGCGAGGCTACTCGCAGGCCCACCACGAGCTGCGCGGGCCATAGAATGGAACGGAGTAGAGTAGAGTAGAATGGAATGGAAACAGAACAGAACAGAACAGAAGAATAGAATAGAATAGAATAGAATAGAATAGAATAGAATAGAATAGAATAGAATAGAAGATAGGATAGGATAGGATAGGATAGGATAGGATAGAGGATAGGATAGGATAGGATAGAGGATAGGATAGAGGATAGGATGGGATGGGATAGGATAGGATAGAATAGAGGATAGGATAGGATAGGATAGGATAGAATAGAGGATAGGATAGGATAGGATAGGATAGGATAGGATAGGATAGGATAGAGGATAGGATGGGATGGGATGGGATAGGATAGGATAGGATAGAATAGAGGATAGGATAGGATAGGGTAGGGTAGGATAGGATAGGATAGAATAGAGGATAGGATGGGATAGGATGGGATGGGATAGGACAGGATAGGACAGGACAGGACAGGATAGGACAGGACAGGACAGAACAAGAGCAGAAGAGAAGAGAATTCTTTATTGGCCAAGTGTGATTGGACAGCAAGGAATTTGTCTTTGGTACATAAGTTCTCAGTGTACATAAGAAAAAATTAAACACATTCATCAAGAATTATACGTCTATTGCTCTAAGATACAAAGTGATAATCGTAGGTTACTATAGGCAATCAAACCATACTAGGACACAATCAATAAAATCGTTAGGATACAAGCGACAAAGTTACAGCCATATAGTCCTAAGTGGGAGGGGATGGGTGAAAGGAAGGGAAGATTAATAGTAATGCTTATTTTTAAAAAATTATACTAGGAAACAGTCAATAAAAATCATTAGATACAAGCACCATCTTCCTCTTCCTCCTCCTCCTTCTCCTCCTCTCCAGAAACCTCCCTCCCTTCCAGCACTGATAATGTTACCTAGTTGGGTTGTGAAACGTCTGCAAATCGTTTTTTTTTTGAAGTTCACAGAGCGCCAAGGAGCCCACTAGCCAACCCCGAGCTCCAGCTCTTTTCTTCCGTTGGTACTTTGCCTCTTGACTAAGCCTTACCTAAAGAAGGGGGACTGAGGGGCTTGTAAATGGACGGCGCATTTAAGATGGTTATCCGTGACAATCTCCTGGGAGATCAAGTGGATTAACACCTCCGCAAAAGAAGGTTTATCTTTTCTAGCACAGCCTGACCATCTCAGCTTCTCAGTTCATGGCCGGGCTGGAAATAAGTTGCGCGCTCCGTAAAGGCAGGGAAATAACCTCCCCACCCCCAGGGGGTGTGGGGCTGCTTTGCCCAAAAACACTTGTGTTTTGCTCCAGGTCTTCATAGAAGGGACCTTGTAGGTCATCTAGTCCAACCAAGCAGGAGACCCTACACCATTTCTGGCAGGTGGAAGTCCAATCTCTTCTTGAAAGCCTCCAGGGATGAAGCTCCCACAGCTTCCTAAGGCAACGTCTGTTCCATGGGTGGATTGTTCTCCCGGTCAGAAAATTCCTCCTTATTTCCAGGTTGAATTTCTCCTTCTTCAGTTTCCATGCATTTATTCCTTGTCTGGCCTTCGGGGGCTTTGGAGGATAGCTTGACCCCCTTCCTCCTCCTCTCTGGGGCAGCCCCTCAAATATTGGGACATTGCTCTCCTGTCTCCCCTGGTCCTTCTCTTCCCTAGACTAGCCCGGCCCGGTTCCTGCCACCGTTCATTTAGGAGCCCCGGGTTAAAGAGAGGCTCCCTTGACAGCTTCTCCTCTTCAGAGGAGCCCGAGAGGCTCCTCCCTGCACAGGAGCTCATTCAAACAGGCCAGGCTGCATTTCATGGCCATTAAAAGGGAGTGGTCCAGCCCCCCCTGCCCCCCCCAGCCTGGCTCCCATCCAGGTTGGATAATGACAATTTGCCCCCCACCGGCTGGCCGCTCGGCTGCTCTTAATTGGCAGCTCCTGCCTTCCTCAGTTTCCCTCCGTAACCCACCCGGCCAGCATCCCAGGGACGTGTCTTGCGATCCGAATAGACGAGAATAACAAGAGTTGGAAGGGACCTTGGAGGTCTTCTAGTCCAACCCCCTGCTTGGGCAGCAAACCCTGCACCACTTCAGACAAGCGGTTATCCAATCTCCTCCTCCTCCTCCTCCTCCTCCTCCTCCTCCCCCCCCCCCCCCTCACCCTCCCCCCCCCCCCCCTCCTCCTCCTCCCCCTCCTCCTCCTCCTCCTCCTCCTCCTCCTCCTCCTTGCACACCCCGTTCCTAGTACTGATGAAGTTACATAGTTGGGTCATGACATGTTTGCAAAACATCACCAAGCTCCAGAGAGCACCAAGGACCCCACAGTCGTCCTCCTCCTCCTCCTCCTCCTCCTCCTCCTCCTCTTCTCTTGGCAGGCAGAGGTGTGGATAGCCAACAGCTCCTAATGTCAGTCGTCATAAACTCTTTGGGATGGCCCGATCGAGGTTTCTTCAGACTGCCTTTCTTTGCCCCTCCTTTCTCCTTGAGAGGCCGGGGCGTTTCTCTCAGTCTGGCCCAACTGTTTCTCTTTGGTATTTTGTGTGTGTGTGTGTGTGTGTGTGTGTGTGTGTGTATTGTGTACCTTAGCAATGACCAGGGAAGGCAGTTGCCAGTGCTGAATAAGGAGAAGAGCATCACTGCCAGAGGCCGCGCATTTCCTGCCTCCCAGCCCAGAGCTCTGTCCAGCTGCAGAACATGGGGGGGCTTTGACTGGCTTGGGGGAAGCCCCCCCCCGCCCACACTCAGGAAGGATTAAGGGGATGTCTGGGGTGGGGGAGGGAGGACTGCAAAGCCCATTTCTGCCCCCCCGAGGCTGCTTGGCTTCCGAGCATCGCCAGGCTTTTCAAACGGCGGCGACGGCATTGCATTCGCCTGCGGTGCGGGTCGCTCTATAACACAACAGGTCGGGGTGTGTGTGTGTGTGTGTGTGTGTGTCTGCAAAAGGCAGCCACCATGCTCCCTGGTCTCCCAAACGGTCCCCCCTTTTCTCTCTCTCCCCCCCCCCCCGCCACAAGGAGAAGATAAGCCCGGCTCTGGCCAAGGAGCGGCTGGGAAGGGCGGCTCTGAAACGCAGAAGGAGCTCTGTCTGTTTTGTGCGGTGCGGGGGCTTTGAAACACACACACACACACACACAGCAAAAATCCTTTGCATCTCAGGGACACAATGAAGGGGGGGGGGGACACGCGCACACCCAGGGCATCCCTCCCCACCCTGCTATTCCACAGGGCGGCTTGTGCATGTTTTCCTGCCGTGAACCTCCCGGGGAAGGGGAGGCAGCGGTCGGTCGCGAGTGACTCACAGCAGCCCTGGCCAAATCCTGCTGCTTTTCCCAGGCAGCTCCCTCCCTCCTCCCCTCCCCTCCCTCCCCTCCCCTCCTCCCCTCCCTCGTCCACGGCTTAGACAACTCAAACGCGGCTGCCTCGCACAGCCCCAGTGACAGCAGAGCTGCGGGGGGGGGGGGGGGGGGGGGGCCACCCCCCCCCCCCCGCCCGGGGCCCCCCCCCCCCCCCCCCCTCCCACCCCCCCCAGGGGGGGGCCCCGCACCCCCCCCGGGAACGGAGGGGGGGGGGGGGGGGGGGGGAGAGAGAGCAACACACACATACGTGTGTGGTGCACAGACACACACACGCGCACGCACACAGACTTGCGGGCGTGTGCATTCCCACCTCGGGAGTGGAGCGGGGGGCGGGGGGGGAGGCTGGCTCCCCGTCTCACCCCACGCGACCCACCGGGGCCTCAATCCTCCGCCTGCGTTTGGGGAAGGGACTCGGCTGTCCGGGATGGGATGAGACGGAGACGCAGGCGGCCGGCTCTCTCTCTCTCTCTCTCTCTCTCTCTCGCTCTCCTGCCCGACGGAATTTGGAAAACAAAACGCAAAACATCACAACGTCCCAGCTGAGCTAAGAAACACCACCAGCCGCCCCGCGTCCCCCAGGGAGGCTGTTTCCCCGGAGGAGGAGGAGGAGGAGGAGGAGAAGCGGAAGAAGCAGCGGGGCCCTTGGGCACCTCTCCTGCTCGCCCACCTGGGCCCGGATCTTGGACCCACCTGGGCCAAAGGTTCCTGCCTCCGTTGGGCCCAGCCTCCCCCTGGCGCAGAAGCGGTGGGGGGCGCAGGAGGGGCAAGAGGGATGTGGCATGTGACGCCCCAGGCTCGGCCAGGCGACGGGGGCAGAGCCCCGTTTGGAACATGGGAGGGAAGCCGGTGAAATGGTGAGCGCACGGGTGCCGTTCATGTGGGGAGGGGGCGAAGGAGGGGGGGGGGAACAGCCTGCGGGGGGGGGGGGCGAGGCCGGGGGGGGGGGGGGGGGGGGGCAGGTCCCTTGTGGAAATCGGGGGGGGGGGGGGGGGGGGGGGCTCGATGGTCTTTCCTTGACTTGCTTTTCCAAGATAATTTCAAAATTGGGGGGGGCTGAGCTCCACTCCAGCTTGGGTGCAGCCCCTCACCCCCACAACAAGGACTTAAGCGGGGCAGTTCCTTAAGGCTGTCAATCGTGCTGAATTAGGTCTTATTTTATTTTTATTTGGGGCGGGGGGCTTTCTCTGCAGGTTTAGCACAGGATGATGAATTAGTTCTCTTCCCTCCAAGGCATAAATTGCAAAAGGTCCTTGCCTCTCTCTCTCTCCCCCCCCCCGCCGTCCCCCCATCGAGACCCTGATGCTTTGCCTTCTCCACGGGAATTTAGTGGCCTGGGGAGTGGAGAGGGATGCCTGGAAGGGTTTATGAGCTTCTGGAGGGAGGGGGCCTTGGGGGAGGTCAGTGGTCGGTGGTGGTGCTGTCTGAAGTGGCATCTGGTCAAGTGGCCAGAGGTGGCAGCCGCTTCTCTAGTCTCTGGTCTGGCGAAAGGTGCGTTTTGAAGCCTTGTTGGGAATTGTCTCGGGGGGGGGGGGAATGGGGGGGGCCCCTACTTGGGGGGGGAGGGGGATTTCTGGGGGCACATG